TATATATATATATATATATATATATAGATATTATTAATTTATATCCGTAATAAAACTTTTTTAATTAACATCGATTAACGATTCTGTTTTTGGAACACGGTTATAATTATTTTACAGCAATCGTCATTGTTATCGTGTTAATTGTTGCTTTAACGTGTTCACGCTTCTCACTATTATACTTTCGTACGTTTTTTTCAATTTTGACACAGGCATAATAATAATACTCCTATTAATACTATGGCTAGTTACATTGACCGTTACCAAGGTCCGTGAATCGCATCGAATCGATGTAAGTTGTTAACTAAGGTAAAAAAAAAAAAAAAAAAAAAAAAATCGGAATGAACAATTAATACCTTTAGAAATTAGAATAGGATCCTCGGTTGATATCGCGAGTCACAGAGCGAGAACGATCTGAAGCGATCGTTTTTCTTTTCTCTCGTCGAACGTAACAAACGCGTCGTTTACATTTACATTTGTGTACGGCATGGAAGTGTTCGGCTCTGGTGAAGTGAAAACGCGTATCAACGGAGGATTCGAGGTGGTGAAAGTACGGTACATCCAGCACAGGTAGAAGAATGAGTCTAGTCTGTGTTTACGTGTTACTGTCCCCTCGATATTTTGACTGTGAATTGTATAATTTGAAACTAGAAAGCATTGCTTAAATGAATGAGGAATCGGCGGGTCACGTGGCTGTTAATGTGTTGCAGGGGGGGTGGGACGCAATCGGAAGCATGTTGGCGATACAACTGGTCAAGTGGTGATGCAGGGTCCAGGGCGTTTTTCGTGCAGACTCTGCGGAAGCGTTTACAAGCACCTTGCTTCGCTGACCCAGCACCTCGAAGTGCATCGCAACCAGACTACCTGCATTCTCTGCCATACCACTCTCAGTCGTAGAACCGACCTGCGACGTCACATGCGTTTGAAACATAACATGCAATGGCAAAAAACGATCCAGAAGCAGCGCAGCTCGAAAAACGAATTGGACTCGTAAAAACATTTCTTTCGAACGCGTACGGGCATTGCTTCTCGCTCCGCCCTCGTCCCCCACCTCTCCCCGCCTCGCCTTCCCCCACCATCCACCGTGGCCGCTCTCTCCTTTCTTTACTTTCCTTCTTTCTCGTTTCCCTCGATTCAAAAGTATTTATATTTTCTTTTCTTTCTCCACGCGCTAGCACTGAATAAATAAATTAATTATCGAAACAATAACGCGATATAATATTATAATATGTTCGCGCACAAGTTCAAGTGATGTTAGTAGAGTCGAGAAATCGAAAACTGCTTTTTTCTTTTTCTTTTTTTTTTTCAAATTCGACGTCGTTCTCACGATTAGGTGGTGTATAATAAGCGTGGAAAAAAAAAAAAAATTTGAGGACAGTAACATGAGACTCGACAATTTGTATTTATCGTTGTTGTTGTTTTTTTTTTTTAAATCCCGATCTCATTTTTTTTTTTTTTTCTTAAAACTCGGAAAATTCGACAAATTAGGGGACGCACGTCTCTCTCTGTTCGAATAAGGAAAAAACTAAGAAACGATTCGAACGATTCGATCCTGATTTTTCGTTAAGCTTTTGTCCTTTATCCTTTATTATATTTGTGATACGCGTGATTTTTTTTTTTAGCAAGTCGCGCATGCTCTCGCTTTCGTTTCTCATCGCTACGCTTTCAGTGTAAAGTGATAAGAAATCGAAAGATTTTATTCCAATTTGTAATCCTGTTAACGCGTCTCTAATAAGAATTCTAGTCAATGTACAGTACAGTTACTTTTTTTTTTTTTTTTTATTATATAAGTGATCGTTAACACGTTTCTTTCTCTTTAATCGTATACTCGCTTATATATATCGATTTTATAATCGATGTAATGGTTCCGCATGGAGATCTGTGTTACGCGCACCGGTTATTACTGTTATATGCGCGAAAAATGCTTCGATAACTATCGCGTTCGAGGGGGAAAAATTACGAGATCGATCGATAATAATCGACGACGTGACCGAGCGATGGTTATCGATGGAGTGCGTACGAATCTTTTTTGCAGTTTTGAATATAATGCACAACGGGTAATAGAATTGATGAAATATTATTATTAAAAAATATCCATATCGCACGAATATTAGAAGAAATTATGAGGGACGATTTCGATGCGAGTAACACGACGACGATAAAATGAAATGAAAATGTACGCGCAAGAGATGGCGTTCTTCCCATCCTCGAGATACTCGTAGCTAAATTGTTCCGAATAACAACTTTCGTATAGTGTTACACTGACTCTGTTTACACGTCTCGTTGCTCGCGTGCTCGACGATTTTTCTTTGCGATAAAGATGAACTTAGCTACTACTACTGAAAGGAGCGCATAGACACAGTGCCTTACACACAATTTATCTAGTTTTACATTTTACATACATACATATTATAACTTTCCAGATGTTTACCACAGTTGAACGCGTATAAGAGAATATAAGAGAACTGAAAGAGTTTTATTCTTTTCACTTGTGGCTTCGTGTAAACATTGTCTCTGTATAAAGAAACGACAAAATCTTCTTCGTTCGTACCTTCTTATATATAAAACCTTATATATACATATACACGACAAGAATGTAATTTTCGATCGATCGATACGGTCCGGAAACTAATTGTATTTTTTAACCTGTTCTTTCTCATTCTTGTATTCGTTACTTTTTTTCTTCTCTTTTTTCGCGATTTCACGAGTCTCGAAAGTGTCGCGTTACCGTTCAAAAATTCGAAGACCTTTGCCGAGTATTTAAGTTTCGCGTGTCGCTTCATCCCAAAACGTCTTGGAAAAAATTCTATTTATTCTCCCGATATCGATAGATCATATCTGTATCACGAAATTCTTAGGAATAGTTACGAATT